CCTGGTTTGTTTGTGGTTTCCGCTTATGCCTCCACCGACTGCATTTCTGATGCTGCCAACGGCATCTACTACTATCTGAACAGGCTGCTTCGCAGTGCTATCAGTTCAGATATCGTTGTTGTTGCAGGAGATATGTGCGGAACTGGTCACTGAGTTCTTCAAAACTCAGCTAGTTAACAAGTGTGGACTTATCTCCGAACGGAGAGACTGCGGCGAGTGCCGGTTGCAATTGTACTTGGAGCAACGGCTGTTTCTTTGTGACACCGGTTTTTGACTCATTTGGCACCGAAATGCCACGTGGCGTCCTCTTGTAGACATGCAGTGATTGACCTAAATAGATCACATTGCCATAAGTTACAGGTGGCGTGGTTTCATCCTGGATTGTCGTTCGTTCTGGAATACTTGCATGCCTTGGTACGCTGTCATTTTGTCAGGAAATTTCCTGTTAGGCGCACCTAGCATCTCTTCCGTATAGCAAGTAAGGAATTATGTCAACCCTCCGTCAAGCAAGCGTATCAGGATGCACTGTGTACCGATTTCCCGCACTCTTGTCCTTCTGATCATGAGCTTCTGTGGAATAGTATCTCGCCTGCCGTTCACGATGCAGAAGCATTTGCTTGTAGTACTGTCAGTCCTCACCACACTAGTCACTGTATGTCCAGAAGCACCCTCCCGGTTAGCTCTGAACCCCATCTGACTGGCCAGTTTATTTGGCGCAAACTAAAACGTAGTTTGCATGCTGACAAGTAAGCTTGGTGGACCTATAGAGCTCAAGAAATGGAGGGTCGGGAGGAGTAGGTAATTATCACAGGCCTTTCCAGCTGATCCGCACCGTATGTGGCATGTAGTCTGGCGTCAGCTAGACAATCGAAGACAATCCGGATACCATGATTCACAATAAGGAGCGCCGTATAGCTGGTTGGGCGGAGCACCTTCATGATCATTTCAGTTGGCCCTCTACTTCCGGACCTCTTCCTACACAGCTGATGCAGGATGAACCCAATCTAAGACTGCAGTTCAAAACGCGATCACAGCCCTCCTTCGTTTTCGTTCTGCATGCCCAGATTCTCTCCATCTGCACTATTTGTGGATGGGGGTCTTGTCCTCTGCAAAACACTGACATGCCTAGAAGGCAGAGATCATGCGGGCTAACTGTTGTAAATCGATTATAGTGACATCATACAAGAGGGGCACTCGCAGCGACTGTGCTACTCACAGAGGCATTAGCCCATCGCCAGTGTTTACAAAAGTACTGGTCTCACTTCTCGTTTGTCACCTCACTGCGGAACGTGAATCTCGGCGTAGGTAAAAGTAGGAACGTTTCCTCTCTGGCAGGTGCTATAGCAGCGCCACACATCTTAGGCGGACAATGGCTGTGTTCTTTGACTTCAGGAGTGCGTTCGACTTAGTCGATCGATGCCCTCTGTTCGAAATACTTGTGCGGATAAGTGTTCCCTTGAAATGTTTGCATATTCTACGTGCTCCACACTCGAACAGGGTGGGCAGCGTTAATGTTTACGGTGAATTATCGGATATCCTTCCGATAACAAGTGACGCTCGTTATGTTTTTCAAATTTCCCCATTTTGGTTCAGTTTCGTCGTGGACTCCCTTAAAGAGCTTCACGTTGCAGGTGTTGCCTGGGGAAAGGCTAGTTGATCTTGCTTATGCGACGATATTGTCACGCTAGTTAGCGATGATGGGGCAGCGCAATCAGCTCTGAATAGCCTCTGTAGAGTAGAACCTTCATTTGATACGCGATTCACACCTTTAAAGTGCTAGTGCTGTTGCACAACCACCATCTACTTGATTGCCCTTTGACGTCTGATAGCGAGGTTCCTCAATTCACTTACCTTTGCAGTTGGATCAGTAACACAAGGCTTGATGAGAACGAACTTTGACTTGTCAGCGGGAAATGAAGTCACTGTCGATCAAACTCTATGCTTCAGTCCGTCTCGCCCCCTAGACTGTGATCCACGTGATTCGCCTCGCATTTTGCTCCAGACTTTACTGTACATGGCACCCATTCGGCACCAGTGGTGCGTCTACTGCCTACTCCTAGTTTGACCGTCTGTTTAAATCGTGTTTGGGGCTGAGTTATCTGAGGGGTAATGACTGATTATGATGCGGGGCAGTGAAAGCCGCAAGGAAGTTGTCTCGCCGATGACACTTAATCTGCTCGATAGCCAGCTGTTTGTGACGGTATGTTGTTGACACGGCGTAGGTGCCTTGACCCTGAATATTTTCTTAGGGCGTGAAGATGTTCCGGTAAGTCCCCCTTCTCTCCTTCCTCTATTTTTGTTCATTAGGTCGTTATGATTCTTTAATAGCGAAGCACCAGTTCAACTGGCTGATATACTGCTGTTGATGATGACGTGCCTGCATGTTTAGTTTCTTCCATTTTAGTTGTTGTCTGTTGCTTGATATACCTGTTATTGCTTCGCTTGGTGTGAATGGTGACAGGGTGTCTATACCCCAGATCGATGAGGGTCAGCTAGATTAGGGTTCTTGTCATTACAACCACGAACTCGAGTCTGGTACTTGGTTACCTAGCATCGCTCTTCGTGAGACGTGGTCCATCTATAAACAAGAAGACCAGTACGTTGTCATAGGCGACGCGAATTGATGTGATTTCCAAATCCTCCACCACATGTTGTGCAGTATCTCCTCAAGATTAATGAGATATTCTTCTTGAGTCCGTATGGCGGAGTCCGAAGCCCTTGATTGGAAATGTTAGGTGTATGTTCAATATCCTCTCAGTTTGTGGATTTGTTTCTACTGAGGATTGCTTGCGAATGCCGAAAATGTTTCCGCGTGGTGTAAGTTTGAAGTGCGGTGGAATGTCATGTTTGGATGTGCGATAACATTCTGTATCAAACTCTGAGAAATCCGCCCCTAAGTTAATTCAAGCTTTGTGGAAATCTGACCGTGAAGTATAGAGACTTTAGTGATGATCTCCATTGATGTTTTATTTTCCACGTAATCTAAAAGAACCGACTTTTGATTCGAACGACGCTGTGTTTGTTGAGCATGCGATTTGCGGGAATGCGTGGGTCTTGCTAACTTGGCGTTTGAGGTCGATGCATTGATTCCACGGCGCTGCTATGTTAAAACGTCCTGCATCATCTTGAAATCGAACAGTGCTCCGTCGTTCCACAGTATATTCAGAGTGAAACAACGAATGCACCGAAACGACATATCATTTTCTCATAAATTGTTATTCTCATCATTCTTAGTTTTTATGTGCTGCTGAAAATTGTTTTAGCCATGACATATTTAGTGGAGTAACCTTTGTGACGTAGTCTGCCTGGAATGCTTTAAATGTTTCAAATTGGGTTCTAAGCCGACTTCTCAAGCAAATTGCTTTTCCTCCTTTGGAAATATGAAATTTCCGGCATGTAACAGAGCAGCGTGTGTATTTTCAAATTTGAGGAGAGTTTTAGTGCAGACTTATGATACTTGTTTATCAACTTCAGCGAAATTTCATCATGCGACCGTTCAAGTATGTGAGCAACGATGCGGTGGTTACTTAACAATACTTCTTGAAGATAGCGGCAAATGTTGCCTGTAATCAAAGTGCATCCATCAGACGTGTTAACAAACAAACTAAGAACGGGCGCACAGAGGATAAACACGCATAACCCATTCAATAGGGACTGCTACTTCTACGATCACAATGCGCCCTGCCGTCTTGCAAAGACAGTCGCAGAATACGTGAAAATAGAAAGAGGGGGATGTTCGAATGATCAACTTCATCCCCTGAATCAAATTGATTTGAAAATTTATGGTACATGTTGTCACTGTTAATATCAAAAAACAGCCTACAACCAAAATGAAACTTCCTGGATCCATTATTGATGGTTTGAGCCTTATCATCACTTACGCACATCTCCAAAACGTGGTATGTTCAGTGCCTGCGACAAGCAAAGCTTTTAAGCGAAACGAAAGCGGGTCAATCAAGTATTAGATGTTTAGTTCTGTGCACGGCACGTTTCTGGACCTTTGTTTCCATTAATACTGCTTACGTTGTGTTAAGCGGGGCCACAGTCATAATGCAGTTTTCGGATCATACCGTCTAACAGTAGGTTAATTGCTCTAATGCTACGATTTTCGTGTATCGATATTTAAGAGAAACAACTGTGATAGAAATTGTATATATTTCCAGCATTCCTATAACGCTGGGCTGGTTATCAAATAAACTGAGTATTCATCTAAGTGATACTGAACATTCCACAGCTGTATGATTTCTAAGGCCGGGGACTTCCCATATGACTTTGATTTGTAAAGTCGTCTCATGCGTCTGGGTACGGTTGAGATGATACTGTCGAACACCGCACGAATTGGAAGCTAGGCTTTCTGATGCATGGGGCAACAACCTATGCATACCTGTCCAGATAGAGATGAAAGCTGAGGCCTTTTGCTTAACCAGTGGGAGATGGTTGAGGCTATAGAAGGGCGCATTCGATTAGAATGACCAATTCGAATGTGAACCCGGTGCTGAGAGGGAAACTCGTTGGCTAGTCGGACATGAAACGAGCAGACTACAGTTGGTCGCACCAGGCATAATTGTCCGATTGCACTGATTGCGTTGTCTTCCAAATGTTGATGTCGTTCCACTGGATCTTTATATGCTTTGCTCTTTTTGAATGATATGTACGGACAGAAATACTGACTACCTTGTTTGGTACCTAATGTTAGTACGCAGTCGTAATTACCAATGTACTTTTCGCATTCTTTATCTCCTCTTTCTCTTCCACCATAATTGATTCTCGAACACTATAATGCATAGTTTTACATCGCGAATCCTTGAATTTGGTGGCCATCATACAGCTTCTATCGTATTGCCAATTTGGTTCACCCCCGTTCAAATAAACCAATCTCTGTTCACTGTCTGTTTATTGTGTGCCATTTACATGTGCCTGATTGATTTCTTCTCCCTTCTCCAGAGCAACAACCATATACATGTGAACATTGTGGCAGATCGTTTTCTCTGAAGGACAGTATGCAAAGACACTACAATTATGTTCATTCGAGTGAGTGTTCAGTTTCTCTTTCCAATTAAGCTTGCTTTGTGTCTCTTGCATCATGTCATCTTCGATGATATTGCGTGGTCTCACTTCTGACAATAACATCTTGTTTTGTTCCTCGTAATGCTCAGAAACATTTCGACGCACAGAATCTTCAATTTTACAATTCACTACTGTAACCTCTAGCGCGCGTATCAATTTGCTTGACTCTTCTCGTGGTTATATGACCGGTAGCATCCGTTTTCGGATTTGACTGTCACTGAGTTTGCGAATAACTCGATTAGGCCTGCACCCTTCTGAAGAACCATGGGTGACTTGCGCTGCATAACCCCACAGCTCCATCCACACACCCGATTTCTAATGTAATGTCGAAGGGATAGGACAAGGAGAATGTAGCATCCTTTCACGGAAACATGGAACAGTGAGAGCGACGATGTCCGGTGACGCGCTGCGATCTCTGTGCCAATTAATCACGTTTAGTCTTTTTCCTCTTCTCTGGTTCGAATGCATTCAAAGCACTGAATAAAGAGGTGATCGAGGCGCTGGTGAAAATAGCAGGCGATGGACAGCTGTCTGATTGATACGGACGCTGCAGTGTCTGATCAGTCATCGGCTGGTGGGAACTTTTCGGTCGTGCTCCATTACCGCAAGATCTGTTGGTCATTACTCAGTATGTGTTGATGGTCTGGAAAAACACATCCTGGTAATCAGGAGGCAGAAACCATATAAGCTGGTGTCCAACAACGCTATCGTCTACTTCAAACGAAGGCAGCTGACGATTGAATACGAGTCTGCACCACCACTCATTGATCGTGGAGGAACTGTTCCTTTGCGCTCGATTTTTTCCGTGTTATACAAAAGCCCGGCCTTGCAGTCACTCAGTTAGTACCTGCTAGGACGGGACGGTTTCTCGTATAGATTTTGTGACTACCATTGCACCAACCCGACAGACGTATCGCCCACAGAGGCCTTGGCAGATATCGATTTATTTTGGAGGCTGAGGTGAACTCATAATTACCTATTCTAGATGCAGATATGACTGGAGTGGCGCACACCCGACACACTTGCCCAGTGGTTTGGGTGCTTAAGACCCATGGGAATTATCATTTCTGTGTGAACTTCCGAAATCTCCCTGAGTCGTTTGGTCCACGTGCCATCAGTTGCAGATATATTTCATGCAGGCATTTCCCTTCACGAATTTCACTAAAACGAGAAGAAACAACATTGTAACAGAATTTACTGGATTCAGCAATTTCGCATAATATCCTCAGCTGTTTACATGCAATTAGTGGAATACACAGGCTACATATCAGTCAATCAAAGTGCGATGTTAACGACAAAATATTTGAAGCGGTCGAAATCACTTAGGCTCACATGACTCGTTCCGAGGAAAATGGAAACACTAGCTCCATCAGGGAAGGGCTAGTGTGGTCACGAAATCCATGTGCTTGCATAGATGTGGTTTCAGCCGTTGAATTGCTGAGGCCTCTGCAAACTGAAGTAAGCGGGGAGTAGGTTGTTTGCTAACTACCCTGACATTGCCACGTGGGTTTTGGCGTTCAGGGCGGTCAAGTATGTGGCGGGCAATAGAGCTAGTCGGTAGCTTCAGGCCATTAGCGATCATGTTTCGCGGAATATGCTCTGCAGTCCTCGCTGATAGCCTCACAGTTCGGCCTATGTACGTGCTACCGCAAGTACAATTAAAGAGATAAGGGCGGGGGGCGGTAACTTGAGAGTCCGGTCTGTCCAGGTTGGGTTTACAGAGCAACCTTCTGAATTGATGCAATACCACTAACTCAGCCGTATAGTAATACTTCTTAATTGATTGACGGAGATGTTGCCGGCATCTTGTCATTTTGATCTCCTTTGAACGACAGTGTAATGAATACCTTTTTCTTCGGGACACCGGTTGGTGGTTTATCCCTGGATAGTAATTTCACGTGCTGTGTTATGAATCGCGCGGGATACTCATTCTCTTGTAGTGTCTAGGTGGCTTGTTCCAGTTCACGTTCGATTGTGTCTACGGAGCAAATTTGACGAGCTCTAGCAAAGGGGGTACGTACTAAATCTCGTTTGTAGTTCATTGGGCAGAAGCTATTAAACTTCCAGTATTGTCCCGTCCATGTTGCTTTTCTGTACACAGCTCAAACGAGTGTACCATCTGGCTTTCTGTATAAGTTTACATCTAAGAGGTGGAAAGATCCGTCGAACTCGTTTTCCATTGTGAACTTGATGGCTGGATGGCACATATTCATCAGTTCCAATTAGTGCGCCGCCTGTTGTGTCGACGACAATGATTGTGTCGTCTACATAGCGGCAATAAAGGTGTACATTTTGTAAGTAAAAGGCTAACTTAGTGTTTTCCAGGTGGCCAAGAAAGACATCAGCCCTCACTCTGGCGGAGGTATGAAGGCAAAGTGCACGTATGCTGGCTGTATACTTCTTCGGTGACCTGTTTCTCGGCAAGCAACGCCATAAAGCAGGTCGATCAATCGAGTCAAATGCTACCCGTATGTCGACGCATGTGACTATAGTGAGTGTGTGGCAAATGAGGCGATGTTCGATGAGTTGACATAACGTGAAGATTTGATCCAGGCATCCACAGCCGGAATGGAAACCAGTCTGCTCTTCACTGTCGTATGATTTACGTATTGGAGATAGTTAACGAAGCAGTACGGGTGCCAATAACTTGGAGGCAAATGAAATAAAACTAATCCTGCGATGATTGACACATTAAGTGAGAGCGCTTTTCTTGAAAATCGGTACAAAAATTGATTCGCTCCAGGATGAAGGCAATTTTTATGTCACCTTTTACGGACCATAAGGTCAGCTGGTTCATGATTGCCGCACCGCCGTAACTGAAAAGCTCCAGAGGAAGTCCCTCTGAGCCAGCAGCCTTGAATCGTTTCAAGCGTCGCATCTTAACGCAAACTTCCGCTTCGCTTGTTGAATTTCGTAGGGCAAGCCAAGGTTGACAACTAGGTGTACTGGGTACACTGTTGGACGGTGTAGGCCAGTTGAAATGCGCGTGAAAGTGCTCGGCCCAGTGGTCTAAGCGTCTCTGTTGGCTGGTTATCGCAGACCCATCCGCCTGGCAAATAACTTCACTTACACCAGGCATCCTGAGGCTAGTGGACTGAATGTGCTGGAAAAGCTTGCGAGTTTTACCGGAGAGGGCGGTGGTGTCCATTTCTAAACACGCTCAGACCACCATGCCTTGCGACCCTTGTACAGGCTTTGCTTGAGCGGTCGGTTTGCAGAGCGGTGCAATTCGTTGCAATCTGCTTATGCCTTGATATCTCTGCGACGGTCGAACAGGTCCAGAGAGCGAGCGGATATACAAGCTTTAATGGACATCCGACTGTGCCACAGCTTGGCTGTCCGGAAATGGTCGCCTTCTGTATACAAGTGCAGTGCTGCTTGCGGTGGATTGCAACTGAGTGCCTATACTAGTGAAGACTGATAGCTCGCCTAGACAGAGGAATCATTTAATCTGTTTGCATCAGTCTTGCGATGTTTCGTTTTTGAGGACCTCCCAAAACATATGCAGCGTTTCGCGCAAGCCAGTACATGATCTGAATCAACGTAGGTGAACCAAAAGTAGCTTCAGTCACGTAGGCTGCCACGCCATCTGAAGCTGATTAATTTGAGACCATGCTTTTGTTGGAGATAGCAGACACCAGGTTGTGGAACGCAACTTCGTGTGCCTGAAGTTGATGCTGGAGGGAAACAGATGATCGTCTTCGGACAATGTGAGAAGTCTCTCCGTTATCAGAGCGGTTCTCATCGAGAGCGTTGTCACTATCAAGGCGGCGTTCGTATGCTAACAGGTGGTCAACTGGTGCCTTGAAATCACCAGCAACTACAACGACATCCAAGTTTTAGCGTCACTTAAAGGCTGTTGAAGCTCCCAATAAAGTTGTTATAATCTTCTCACTAGACGCGATTCCGAAATTGGCACTTCACTACTCCACAAAACTTCTAGCCCAACCGAAGCAAAAAGCAGAACGCCAGTGACCTTGACAAAATACGTATTAATCGCCGTCAACGAACACTGCACAACCCCTGCGGACCTTGGCTGTATTAGTAGGTCTCTTAATGACCTTCGACTTCTATACTTGGAAAGACAGCCACCAATTTTAGTAGTTTCCCAAATCTTTTGCCGAGGTGTCAGGTGGTTTTTTGTCACGTGCAGAAACTAGAACATTCCGGAACGTTCGAAATCAATGCGATAATCGTTAATAATCGATTACTCCCCAAAATAGTGGATTTCTTAGGCAATCCTTACTTTCTCCCTGACAACTCTTCCTTGACCGAGCCACTACTGCAGTCTCTTCGAGCGTACAAGGAGAGTAGGAACACATTGCGTCTCTCCACGCGACGCTTGTTCTTTCTACATGAACCTCGAACCCGAACTACTACACACACTCGAATGTTAACCTGGATCCAGCCCGGTCTTCCCACATAGTGGTATACCTACGCCGGCCAAACCGGCTGCTGTTGCTTCTGGATCTCTAGGTGATATATGGCTTCGTGCTTACTATGTGGCGCCATTGTAAGCACGATGCTAGGGTCTTGCAGTAGGGTTTCTGAAAATCAGCAAACATCAACATCAAGTGGTCTGCGCGTTTGGTTTGCAACCATAAGGCCACTGGTTCGAATCCGCGTAGGGGTGGGCGTCCTCGCGGTATACCCAGCCCGCGCGCAACTGATGGTGGTCGCAGGGCAGCGCAGCGCCGTTACGACGTACAGCTGACACGCTGCGTGTTTGACTGGCTTGCTCTCCACTCTGCATCAGTGTCCGTACGTCGAAGCACGCCAGACAGAAAGAAGATCGGGGTAGAACGAGAGCCATAGGTCTAACCTCATGCATGGTTCAGGGCGCAACCGGGATTGCAGACAGATTCATGAACACAGAAATCGGGCAACGGACAATGAGGATTACTAGCAAATTAACGATTTGTGATTGATGATGTCGCGTGAATGCAAGAAGCAGAAACAATAGT